GAATTAGATACAAGCTCCCAAATACTTTTGACATTTTTGGCCTTTGGAACAGAGTATGTTGCTAACAGGCCTAAGGACATTTTGACTTTTAGCCAAGAAACTGGCTACATTTCTTTGCGGTCTTTTTACCCTAACTGCCTAGCCAGTTCTGAACCTCCTGTTCTTATCACACTATCCTCTGAAGTGGTTACCTAAATTGCCAATAGGGAATAGGGACGCAGACCGCTCTAGCTTCTCCCATGCTGAATAGGGATATAGGGTGAGGCAATTGGAGTACCCCTTCAGTGGGTCTATCTAAAAGACTCCCAAATTGTATAACTCTTATCTCTAAGAGGAGAAGAAAGTCCTTGAATCGTGAATAGGAGATGTGAAGGAGAAGTAAAGGTAAGAATAATTAGCATTACAAGTTCTACACAGAACTAGAAAAAAATCAGAAGAGGGCAATTTTCAAATGTTCATATGAGAGTCTATTGGAGTTTCTTGACAAGGGCTTCCAAAAGCATCTCTCTAGTGGGTTCCTCATTTTTCTTTTGTCTTCCAAGGCTGGACTAGTTGGCTGGTAAGAGTGGCTGGATACTCAGGTGAGGGTCCCGTGACCCTGCTTGACATTCCTTTAATGAATGAGCACAACCATCAGCAAGCTTCACGTAGTATAACAGTTTCTAGATCCATCCGTTTACCTGCAAATTCATTATTTCATCTTTCTTGACTGTTGAATAGAACTCCATTGTGTAAACATACCACATTTTTGTTAACCACTCGTCAGTTGAGGGACACTTAGGTTGCTTCCATCTTGTAGCTATTGTGAAAAGAGCAGCAACAAACATGATTGTACAAGTGTCTCTACAATAGGATGAGTCCTTTGGATATATGCCAAGGAATGGTCTAATCGGGTCATATGGTAGGTTCATTTTTAGTTTCTTAAGAGTTTTCCACACTATTTCCCATGGAGGCTGCACAAGTTTTCAGTCCCACCTCTGCTGGTTTTTTTATTGTTGATGTTGTATATTTGTTTTATTACATGGTCAGTAAAATGTAGAAACATGGAATAAAGTAAATAGCTGCTTATGTGACAGTAGTCATAGTCAGTACACAAGAGAGGAATTCTGGGGTGTCTCAGGTCAGCCACTGCAGTCACAAGTGTAGGCTTTAGAATCACAAAACTCTATAGTCAGAGTCCAGCTTTGGCCCCAGCCAGCTTTGCAAACCTAACTTACTTTTCTGCTTAGAAGGTCAACTTGCACATTAAACGCTTCAGAGAAGACACCAGTGTGTTGGGAAAGGTCATGTTTTATTAAAGTCAATGTGAATCTACAGTGGGAATGAAATCCTTCCCCATGGGTAAAGTTACAGGAGAAATGGCCCCAAATGGTCCCCTAAGAGTTGAGCTACCACAGGCCCTGGAGTGCTGTGTCAGGGACGCTTAAACTTGCTTCTTTCTAACCTAAGCAAGTTGTTTCTAGGTCATCTACTCCTATGGCTTGTACACTGTTTGCTGAGATTTTGCAGTTGTATGACTTGACTGATAGCATACAAGTAGAAATGTAGCCTGCTGTGATCCTCATACAAATACTGTTTACACAGATTACCTTGTGAGTGTCTGTGTGTCTATGTGTTGGTGCCAAGGATTGAACACAGGGCCTTGCCTGTGCTTGTCTAGTGTTCTGCAACTAGCTGTCCCTCTAGCCGCAGAATCACTTTGTGAACTGTTCTTCCATCTTTTTAATTTTCCCCCTCTTGTTCTCTTGGCTTTCTACAGCATCTTAGGATGTAAGTTAGACTATGCCATACAGGTGGCCACCGTGCTGTCATTTGTTCTTATCCTAGCATCTGCGTGGCATCTTACAGGTGCTTGGATAAGTTAGTACCACACTTCAGAGACCATCAGTATC